TTCATTTATTGAGAGCGGATAGTATCGCTTTCTTAATGCTGAAAAGCGAATCAGATATATCAAATGTGCTGGAATGAGAGTTAAAATCCTGGCATAAGCAACGGAGTGGCTCGTGTAATTCAAAATTAGTTTTACAAGTTTTCAAAAATAGGGGATAAAAGTGTTTTGATACACGGGAGGGAACATTACTGACGTAAAACCAGATTTTGAAAATTTGGCCAAAGGGATCATTTGAATTTTCTTTCGTATCTATCTTACGTACATTAGAATAATAATAAAATTAATGTTCTTTTATTTCTAATAATAATTTTATTTAAAAAAAAAAATTTTGTTTTTATGGCCCTTTGTATCATTTAGATTTTACATGTGGCTCTTTTCGGCCTAAGCCTTGCTCACCCCTGTAATAAAACAAAAACCACGAGTACAAACAAACCAAAAAGTACAAAAAAATGATGGCTTTATTAATAAAAGGATCCGAAATTTCTCTGTCACGGGTAGGACAAGTGGGGGTTCAATTCATTCACGTTTTATCTTAGGATAGCGCCTTTTATATAGAAGAAAATGCCTAGCATCGTCAGCAAAAAAAATTATTAAAAATCAACGCGATTTCCTAGCGTCCTGAAATTTTCACTTTCACGTACTTAATTTAATGACCTACAACTACCTAGAATTTTTCTAAAAATTCTGAACAAAAAGTTTAAAATTGTTGGCTGTAATTGTTTGTAATTGTAATTGTTTGTTGAATTTTTATAAGTTTTGCACGAAGTTTGAAATTGAATTTACATATGTGGTTCTAGTTATGTAATGTGCTAGACATTTATTTTATTTTAAATAAACAAAAGAAAAAACCAAAAAATGGTGAAAATGTCACTTAACTTAATCAAATGACCACAAGGGTATATTCCTGCGTCCACCTCAACAAACAAATAAAGCTTATCAGCCCTGTAAACCTACCTCTGACAACTGTCCCACCCGTAGCTGTCACTGATTAGACATGCTTCACTGTTGAATTATTTTTATCTAACTATGTGGAAATGAACATGCAATCGTGGTAAACATTTGCAATGAATTTCTAACATCATGTAACAAACATGAAACACAACTTCAACTTCTGTAGTTATATATAAAAACTTTTAGATTATTTTGTCACTGGTGGGACAAGACCAATACTGTTTAATAATCACACTCATTGCGAGAGTCGTGTCAAATGCAAGTCGTTTTTCGAGAGTCGAATAGTATCGAAAATTTCACGTCATTGCCTAAAATTTCCACTCGACTAGTTTATTAAAACGCAAATACTTGGCAGCACTGTATAGGTTTCGACGATTTTTGTCGTTTACTTATTTCGGCACGACAGTAGACAATACCAATGTTGTCGAGTCGTACAATTTAGCCTAATTTACGACTTATGCAATGAGGCTAAGTAACTCATAATATACACCCCTATTTTGCTTCGAATCGCAGAAATAGTATGCTGCAATCCGAATCGTGTCTTGAACATTCGAATTTCGTAACAATGGCATGCATAAAAACGAACGAGTAAGAAATTGACCGTTTTTTTTGCGTAATTTTGTACGAAAACAATTCTGTGTCGGAGGCGAGATAAAAGCGGTAAATCGATGTGTGTTGTGTTTGCAGGAAATATTAGTGGTGTTCATTTAAAAAGATAAATTTGCCTTTCGCATGTACGTATATTTTTATCCACGGCTTTGAATAAAGGAACAAAAAAGAATCGGTTGTTGTGTCCAAACGCATAACCCGAATACAAAAACTTTAACATGCACGTGTAATCAATGGATTAAACTTTTATTTAAAACGCATGTTTCAAACTTCCGACCACTCGGTTATTAATAAATTCGGTTTGCACTATGCACTTTTTTGAAAATTTCGATGTGGGTTCTGCGCAAAAATACTGTGGATGGCGTAGCCGGAATTATATGCACAAGAAATGTTGTATACTTTCGGCATGCGGAAACCCCTCTTCTCCGGCAACACAGAAAGGAGAATTCTCCTTAGTAAGGGTTATAATCCCTAATCGTGGCCGAAGGCAGAAGCAAGCGCAACAGGTGGTGGACCTAACAAAGTGCATGTTTTCAATGGCTTGGAAGAAGCTGTTATTGCATTAACTGGATTAAGAACCAGTTCTTCAGGCAGAGGAGGAGTTCTGGCTTGTGTTGGCTCACATAGATGTGCCCATGGTTACTATGCACGACAGCTCCGCATATCTTTGTGAAATCATTCCCATAGTGCGCTCTTACTCCGCTGCTATAATTGCAAATGCAACAGAATTCATCGTTTTCTTCAAAATAGCTAAACCAAACAATTTTACTATAAATAAGCACTAGAAGAGGGTTTTTTTTAAATTCCTTTCCACTTTGTTTTCCTTCATACAGCTGTCTTCCAAAAACAACTGATAGCTGGCAATGCTGCACAGATTTTCGCAAGGGTTGAAGCATGCCGATTTTTCGTTTTTTCGTAATTACGAAAATTCGTGTTCTAGAATAAGGGGGATAGATAAAGCACTCACACAACTTAATATATATAACAATTTTATAAAAAGTAGATGAGTTCTACTATATATTTTTCTTACCCAACCCTTGAATAATGAATCGCAAATTATTTGGCAATACTTTCAACACAACCTACTTTAAACTCACTCAAAAAATTTACTTAGAACTCGATATCAAAACGTAAAAAAGGTAATAACAAGTAATTTTTAAGCAAAAAACAAAATCGACTTCGATTCTCATATAAAAATTTAAGATTATCGTTAATTTCTTCATGATCCGATGATAGGACTTAAACCATATTAATATTTACCCCATATTATTCCTTAAAAAAAAAAAGAATTATAGAAATCGGTTAGCGTAGTCTAACGTTATGCGGTAACATACATAAAAAAAAATTTTATATATATATTCCGACGAATTGATTGATAACCTTTCTCCTTTGTGTGAAGTCGGTTAAGAATGCATTTAAAGCTTTAGTTTGTTATTTTTGGTTGATTCAAGATTTTTACAAATGCCTTATCCACACGTTTGTTAGTTTTTTAAAGAAAATAATTTTTGCACTGTGGTTCAGTTTCCCATGGAACCTCCCATCACTCTATACAATAAAGTGCAAGTTTCGATTAGATAAAAATTACCGTTACTTTATAGAATTTTTTGTAGAGGGTGTTGCTTATTTTCTCTTTCATATAAAGGCTGAACAAAATTCCTCCCGAAATGGAAGTTCGAGGAACTTAGATTTGACTAGCGGACAAATATTATTTCAGAAGGAAAACACCCTGCGCATTATTCACTGTGCTAATGCCGAATCGACATGGAGTCCAGTCCTACGGGTCAGGCTTTCGCTGTGTTATGCAGCTCTTAATTGATTTGGTGATGTTAATAAAGACCATTTACTTTTGTTGGAGGTCCAAGCATCTTTAGAAGTCACGGAAATCTGCTCTGCACCATTCCCTTTTTGACTTACACTCGATTACATACTTCTGAAGAAACTGCTCTTTTAAACCAAGATGCTGAAATCAATAACTTGAATAGTCAAAAACACTTTCTCTTCTTAAGAGTTGATACAACTTTTTAAGCATGCCAGAAAGATAGAAGACAACTCTAAACGGATTTATATCCTTATTTTTTGCAGTGATACAGTCAAAATTTGAACTTAATTCAAGATTGCCCTAATAAAACCAGATGAGACTACAGTTTGAGTGTACCCTTTCAGAATTTTTTACATTGTATTTCACCTCTTTCTTAATAGTTTACACGATTTTGATTTTGTACACTACCACCCGATAGGATCCTGGCTCGAGCACCAGCCAACAAACAAGTTAATAAAAACCATTTGCCATTCGGCAACAACATCAAGACACACACCTCGAGAATCTCGCCGGAACACTTATGGATCGATTACGGATTGCAACGCAACCACGATTCAGTTTCCAGCTCGCAACGCAACTGGAAAGAAAATATGTATTACGAATGGCAACTATCGTCAGTTGCTGTAGAGTTATCGATAATCGAAATTTGATAGTTCGACAACAGCTAACTAGCGGCTGTAAACGAGCTGTGAGAGTAAAATTAAATGATTAAAATAAAGAGATTTAAAGAAAAGACAGCAATAAAGCTGAATTCATCACAATTATTTGTTTAAGAGGAAGATAAGTGCGTGAACGCAGCCTCAATCAGGCGACATTTAAAGGATAATTCCAATCCTCTAGAGCTACCGCGTGCACTGTAAGCAAAAGTTAATGCTTTCAAGGTTTTTCTTTTAGTATCGTTTTGTGTTAATTTTCAAAGCATATTGAGGACTTCCAAAAGAAGCTGTAGTATAATTGGTTAGTAAACAAATGAACCACTTCGTTCAACTTCAATACCTGAGCTCATAACAGCTTGCGCACCTCCTCGATTTTACGCAGAAGGAAGTACCACAGCGATGACTTTAATTTGGAAAACTGGGTGTGTCGGTAGATTTAAAAGAGGTTCTTCAGGAAAAAATTTGCAATCAGGGTTCGCTTTTGTTTCGCCAAAAGGGCGTACACCATGGGAACTAAAATTTCACGTTATTGGTTTGTTATTTTTTCTATATTTTGTAAAAGCAAACTGCATTGCAAAATGTTAAAATCGTTCAAATTATTAAAAAGTGAAATATATGACACACTTTTCAATTTTCGTTCCTAAATACGCTCCAAAAAAATTTCCAGCAACCACTAAACTGTAGTCGCCTGTATACATACTTTGTAGCAACTGCAGTTGTCAGTTGAAAGTTGCCAGTTGCCATCTGTAATATCATTTTGGCAACTAGCAACGCAACTGAAGTTCGACTGCTATCGATAATCGACTCATTAAAAAGATGTGAACGCCAAATAATACTTTGTCTTGTTTAGTTCAAAGATTAATAAAATGCATTGTTATAACTACTCATAATTATTTGAGGAATAAAGAAATTAGCAAATCGTTTAAACATATAAATTTTTTAATTTTTTTTCCTTTTGAATACAGGTAATTTTTCATCCAATTTTCGGTTTAATGGTTTCATCATCCGAAGACGCTACCATTAAAATTTGGGACTTCGAAACTGGGGAATACGAAAGAAGTTTAAAAGGTCACACAGACTCTGTGCAGGATGTCGCTTTTGATGCTCAAGGCAAACTCTTAGGTTAGTATTGGTGATTATTATCTGTTGAAGTTTTCTTACCCGGTTTTTTATTTTTAGTGTCTTGCAGTGCTGACTTGTCTATAAAATTGTGGGACTTTCAACAAAGTTACGAATGCATTAAAACAATGCATGGCCATGATCATAATGTTTCGTCTGTAGCGTTTGTTCCCGCTGGAGATTATGTGATTTCAGCGTCTCGGGATAAAACCATCAAAATGTGGGAAGTGGCTACCGGGTAAGAAATGTTAATCTAAACTCTGTCAACACAGATGTATGTACCTATTTTTCTTACCTTACTTATTTCTTAGGTACTGTGTGAAAACATACACTGGACATAGAGAATGGGTGCGCATGATTCGTGTGCACTTCGATGGTGCCATTTTTGCATCTTGTTCGAATGACCATGCCATTCGCATATGGCTAACTAGCACGAAGGATTGTAAGGTATGTATGTTTTCAGCTTATTAGACTCCTTAGTGTTGTTTCCAATGGTCAATGGGCTATTTGAAAGGTAAAATTCAAGTAACAGGGTACTTTTCATTTATTTACTAAACAGTTAATTTATAAAATACCAGCAGACTCGGCGAACATTTTGGTCGAACATTTTCACCAACAATTCACGTTCCCGGATTATCTGCTAATATTATAATTTTGTAGTAGTCGGAAGGCATACTTCCAAGGGCATACTAAATAACCTAACGAAAGTGTTATGTCAGTAAAGAAGTCCTTGGAATTTCCCCAATGATCTGGCATTTCATAGCACGGTTAATCAAACAACGAAATAAATTTGAAAAACTTTTTTTTCTCCAATCCCTGGCGGCGACAATGATTCGGTTCGATAGTGTTTGTTCTTGAATCTGTATAGTGTAGTTGGTGGTAATTACAAAATGGGTGAATATCGTTATGCTATAGAAATACAATATACATACATAGACTTATTTCAGAGGAAATAATACCTTAAATGTCTTAGGGTCAGAACATAGTGGAGCGGCGAGCAAAGAGCATTGTGCAAAGCGTCATTCCCACGACAGCCGGTTATACATACCGGAATGACTGGGGTTTTACCCGACCAAGGGCTGTTTTTTCGGCGATCTAACCCCGTTTAGGTCAGCGATATCCATCAAACGTTGTTCGACAATGGGGCTACCTCTGCTCTGAATCCTTCTGCTCAGGGCTGGCTTAGAGCCAACCCCTGCTGCGAATGCCAGATACGACAGAATGTAAACTCCACCTCGGTCAGGTGCAACGTCTGTGACGGGCGAAGTCATCTCCGCACATTCTCGGGCCTACGTACGCACTGGCAATGGACCACGTCGTTCGTGGCTGATATTGTGCGAATCGGACCTCCTCCACGGCAAACCGCCCGAGCCGGACAACACCAACACACCCACAACCCAACATAACACAACAATAGACACACCAACGAACACTACAGCACGCACACACCGCCGCCGGCAACTTCTACTCCCTCCGACAATCTGCTCGGTTTGCCAGTCCGGAATATACCGTAACGTGACATCAGCCTAGTGCAACTACTACCTTGGCTGGTGCCACGCTCCGGACTCCGCAACACGCGTGATTGGATGAGTTACTTCGTGGGCCCCTGGTGCGCTGCCCAGTCGCAAGTTCCCCCCGCGACGCCGAACAGTGGTGAAAATACTCCATCTAGCCAATGATCGGGCTTAAAAAAAATAGTGTGGTAGAATCTGGAAAAAAATGTGGTAGATTTCAAAAAAATGTGGTAGACCTCCGGTTTTGGATCAAACTTTGTACAAAAATTAAAAAAATTCTGCAAGGTTTCACTCAAATTGCAAACATTTTAATTAGAATCTAAACAAAAAAAAATTAATGTAATAAAGTGCATGATTGAAGTTGCTAAAAATTGCAATGAGTTTTGACATTTTTTTTCTTTGGCAAGCAGCTCCTTCCATATCTAGATATTTTTCGAACACATTTTGAAAGATTTCTGTAACCTTGCGGAGTGTTGCCAGGTTTTCGTTTTATCACATCACGATGTAGCGAACAAATGCGGCACGTTCCAGAAACCGCTACTTGGGATTAGCCGATTTTGACAATTCTCAAGTAAAAGTAAACAACGCTTTAGAAACTTTAGATGCACTGAAATTTGCTAATACTTTCACAACAATCGACGCTTTTTTACATTTTCGCTATTAAATCTTTTTATAAATCATATATTTTGCAATTTCTCACAATAAAACCACGTTTCCTGTCGAAAAATTGAATATTGAGAAAATTAACTATTTTACGGTTTATTTTATCCTCCCATTCTGCCTTTTGTTAGTGTTTAGTGATGGACAATTTTTGCTCTTAAAATTAAGAAAATTATGTCGAGCAAAAATAAAACTACATACATACACCATTTCGTGACTAAAGATTATTTTCGTCTTGTGTAAATACTTGTTGAAGTGCTGTAGTTTTTGTTTGTACAATTTTTTTGTTGTTGATGTAGCAGCATACAAATTCCCCAAAGACTTTTTGGGGAGTGTTGCTGGAGTGACAGTCCTTGGCCAGATATTAATCTGGGTCGTTCCGGTTACGTAGACCCGACTGTCGTGGGAACAATTTTTTTGTGTTTTCTTTTGATTTAGAGTTTTGGAAAATAGTACCCCGGAGTAACCTAAAATTTTTATATGCGTTCTTTAGAGAAGTTCATGCATTAAAAAATTCATGAAAGTTTAGCTACCGCCAAGCACCACTTTAAGTAAAATTTTTATTTTTTTGTAGTATGTAAAATTTTTATTTTTTTGTAGTATGTATGTATGTAGTAGCTATACTAAAAAGGGAACTATGTAATGTGTGGCTAAGTGAAAACGACACAAGAAAAAAGTCTCAACACTAAAAAGATACCTATGTAATAAGATTAAGCTGATAGTACAATAGCCCGAAAAATCTCTCGCGGAAAAGCTATGGGGGATACATTTAACGCTTTGCTTTTGAGCTCAGATCCCTTAATTTCATCATCATCTTCTTTTTATTTGATTCTGTAACCGCTTAAGCGATTTTGGCCGAGTTCAACAAAGCACGCCAATCGTTTCTCTTCTGTGCCAATTGAAGCCAAATGGAAATGCCAAGCGAAGCCAAGTCCTCCACCTGGTCTTTACGTCGCATGTTGGCCTCCCTATTCCTCTGCTACCATCAGCTGGTTCCGAGTTGAATGCTTTCAGAGCTGGAGCGACGGAGTCCATTCGAACGACATGGCCAAACCAGCGGAGCCGCTGTATTTTTATTGCTGCACTATGTTCATGTCGTTGTAATGCTCATACAGCTCATCGTTCCATCGTCTGTGGTACTCGCCGTCGCCAATGCGTAAAGGCCCGTAAATCTTCCGCAAAATCTTTCTCTCGGATACTCCTAGAGCCGCCTTATCGGTTGTTGTTGCTGTTGTAGCGGCTACAACAACCCCGCCCAGATCGGTTGGTATCTCAGTCGTTGTCGTCAAGCTCAGCAAACGGAAGTCCTAACAAGCGTGCAGCCTCTATAGGGCTAGTCCACAGAGACAAAGGCGGGGTTTTCGGTTTTCCGAGCATACGAAGAGATGTTTCGAGTCGTGTCTCTCCGCATGCCGTACACTCATTTGGCACATCTGCATTTAATCTGATCAGGTATGAGTTTAACCTGCTGCATTATCCAGAGCGAAGTTGGGCTATTGGGGTTATAGTCTCCCGAGGTAGACGGAGCTCTGTCTCGTCGATGTCAGGTGGTTGTGTGCCTAGAACGGCATTCGCAGGTCTGGAGTCTACATAACCTGAGACTGACTCCTTACGAATGCCGCTGAGGGCTTGTCGGTAAGCTGACGGGTCTAGAGGTTGCTTTATAAACCTTTGAGCTGCGCCCGTCAGTTCATAGAGATGTCTTCTGACATGCCTTGGCCCGAGCTCCTCTGCAAGCAAGTGTCTGTTGCCAGCAACGTTTCTTTGCCCCAAGTACTGCCGGCTAGCGACTGGAGGACCTTGTTGCGGCTCTGTACTTTGTTGACAATTGCAATTGCGTGCGCAGAGGAGATCAGACTGTCGAAGGTTACTCCGAGTATTTCGGGGTTATTCATGATGTTGTTGTTGTAGCTGCTACTAAGCCCTGCTCGGGTCGGTTCTTTCGTCAACGTTGCGGCCCGTTTAGGCTAAGGGGAGGCCTGGGAAGTGTGCGACTTCAACAGGGTCTGTCCATAAAGACAGGGGCGTCAGCTGGGTGGGGTTCTCAGGGCATGTGAAGAGGTGCCGAGAGTCATGTGGCGACTCTCCACATACCGAGCATTGGTTGGGCACATCCTAATTGATTTTGCTCAGGTATGAGTTTAGTCTGCTGCAATAGCTAGAGCGAAGTTGGGATATTGTGGTGCGGGTCTCCCGAGGCAGACAGAGTTCTGTCCCGTCCACGTCCGGTGGTTGTGTGCCTAGAACGGCATTCACAAGGCGGGATTCTACATAGCTCGACAGTGATTCCCTGTCAATGTCGTTCAGGGCCTGTCGGTAGGCTGACGGGTCCAGAGCTTGTTTAATGAACCTCTGGACTTCGTCCGTCAGTTCGTAGAAATGCTTCCTGACGTGCCTTGGCGAGGGCTCTTCTGCAAGCAGTTGTTTGCTAGGATGACCACGTCTGTAGCTCCCCACAAGAAACTGCTTGCAGAGCATTGTGTTATGCTCCTTTACTAGGATCATCTGGACCTCGTCGTGTAGGGTGTGTTGGGGTGTCATCAGGAGGCATCCGGTTGCTGTTAGTAGTGCCGTGTTCTGGCAGGTCTGTAGCTTCATCCACTGCGTCCTGCTAGGCCCAGCGACCCCACGGGCGCTGCATAGTTTAGAACCGGCCGGCCAATTGCCTTGTATGTTGCCAACAACGCTTCTCTATCTTTGCTCCAAGTGCTGCCGGCCAGCGACTTGAGGACATTATTGCGGCTCTATGCTTTGTTGACTTTGTTGATTGCGGTTGTATGCGCCGAGAAGGAGAATATACTGTCGAAGGTAACTCCGAAGATTTTCGGGTTCTTCACCGTCGCAATTGTTACGCCATCAACGTGAATACCCAGTTGCAGTCTGACCTCCTTCGTCCAGGTGGTGAATAGGTTTGCCGAGGATTTCGCAGGAGATAGGGCAAGGCTCCTCGCAGTGAGGAAGCGAGAATTTTCGGCGAGATAACCGTTTACTTCCAGCACAAGTCATCAATTCCATTTCCAGATGCCATGATCGAACAATCGTCAGCATAAGAGACAATATTTATTAACACCCCCTGGTGGTTGAGGAAGCTGTGAGATGTAATAATTAAACAGTAGTGGGGACAGGACAGAAATCTGTGGTACCCCCTGTTTAATTTTACGTAGCTTGCTGATGATAAGACTCTCCTTTGTTGGTTGGTTTCCCCGGTTTGAGCAGTGGGACCACTCTTCCCATCTTCCAGATGTCTGGAATGACGAGAGTGGCCATAGACAA